TTTATCAACACCCCCAACGGGAGTCGAACCGTGCCAGTGCAGAATATGAGCTTGCCACATTGGGTCACAGGGTAGATGTGAATTTCAACGAAGGTCAGGCCTTGTTCCATATCAATTACTTTGGTGGGATTGTCGATGAAACAAACGTATATTTGCTATAACAATCGACTAGGTTACTTATTTTTGGTATTTAAGTAGAGTTTCGAGACTACCGATAGATCAGTAATATGGGATGAAAACAACTTTTGGGAAAGCAAGGCTGTGTGAAATTCAATGGAATCGTCAGCTCTACTCATCTCATTGTGGTTAAATTCATCACCTTAATGGAAAAAGGATGAATACATGTCATATTACTGATTTACTGGTAGTATCGAAACTCTACTTACATACTAAATTTAAGATTTAGATGGATATAGAAGGTTTGGTTAATTCACGTATACTCGAGTAAGTCTGTGCTTGCATGTATGTATATTAACGTCTGTATGTAAAGCCGGTCATCACACAGAGTAATAAGAAAAAAACTTAACATCAGCTCAATGACTCAAACAAAAGAGAAAAGAAATAAGGATCATGTCTTAGTCCGAAATGCTGAAGGATGTCTCATGGACTGCACCGACCTGAACGTCGTGTTACTATCAAACGGCTGAAGTACAATACAAATGATGTGATTGAACATGTACTCACATAAAGCTTATTTCAGGAGATTCTTAGAAACCCGCATTTTCTTACGTTATTTGCATGAATAAAGGTTTGCGTGTGTATATTCTGCATATGCATATGAGTGTGGTCATAAACACATACACTCGCGTGCATATATGTATACATCTTATAGAAGTATGTATGTATGTATGCATGTTTGTTTGTATTTGTGATTGTATTTATAAATAGGTATGTGCCTGTATGCATGTATGTATGAAAGTAGATAAGCTTATTTGTAGTCTTTCAGTTGCTATTCTCGTTTTTCGTTTGTTAGTAGTAAATCATTTGTGTGAGCTGTATTCATCATATTTAATTTAAGGTGATGAACGACCTGTAGTTTAATTTTCCCACTTAATTTCACATATTCTTGCTTTCCTAAAAGACATTCTTATTCAGGCAGGAGTGGACTGTAGCTTCGACTTGGCATGAACCGATGTTATCAACAGCCCCAACGGGACTCGAGCCATGCCAGTGCAGCGTGTGCTCTTGGGCCGCACAAGTTCAGGCATTTTCCCATATCATATTTTTTTGGTGGGATTGTCCGTGAAGCAAAGCTCTATTTGCTATGCTAATCGACTACAATGCTCTTGTCGATTTGTCGATTGAGAAGACTATACTCGAAGAAAAGTTGTGTTTCGGAGGAATCTCTTGTTTCATAATTGTTGAGCTGACTTCCATTTCGAGTGAAAGTGTTGCGGCGGATTCCTCTTGACCAGCTATTCGAATCTCTTCACCCAACACTTCCACCCGAAATGTAAGTAAGCTCAACAAGAATATACTCAACAAAAAGTCTGAACAGACTGGCCTACAGGGCGCTATTGGGTGGGTTGTCATGACATGGAGTTTAAAGTCCGACCAGAAGAGCTCACCAGTTGTCTGGAGCACGAAGGGCAGGCCGCCGGCCAGACTCGCTGCGAGGCTGGACAGAGCCAATAGCTTGACATTCTCCTCGTTGCCAACTCCTCGGACCAGCGGCTTTGCTCGTCCATCTCCGAACGTGCCGTATCCAAGGCCTCTGGCCGGTGCGAATCCGTCGAAGACGGTCTCGTTCGAATGTCCTCCAACCTGACTGTATTCGGGCTCAGGACACACGATCGGATGCTGCAGTCCCACCGAGCGTCGGGGCCTGACAAGTTGGCCGAGGCCGTCGGTCGCGGCGTGACGAGGCGACACCGACAGCGGCACATGCGTCTGAGGCTGGAACAGCTGATGCTGATGCTGATGTTGATGTTGATGATGATGCTGGTGTTGGTGTGCTGGGTAGGACGGAAGGAGTGGGCTTTCCATGCCTCCGGCAACCCCGTTCGACAGACCGTCGACCAGACCTTGTAGCAAACTGGTCACCCCAGCAACGGTTGCTGAGGGGCAGTCGACAGAGCCGGACTCGGACAGATGCGGTCCCGGGAGTCCCGGGACCGCCGGGGAGCCGGTGGAGCA